TTAATGGTACCATAAAAGGATAAGCAACTCATGTTTTCTGAGGTTCCCCGAATACTTTGATTTAAAAAATCATATAATCCTATATGCATAGTCTTTGCAAACACACCTAGGATCTAGACATTGACTTCTCCCTCTTTCATCAGCATTATTAATACATACTTCTTTATAAAAATTCAGTTGAATGTTTTGCTGCAGTTGGGGACAAAATCAAAGAGGAACCAACACAGGCTATCACGGCTAATTACTAATTACATAGCTAATTACTATTACATCCCATAGCTAATTACTAAAAGTAATTAATAAACACAAATACAAATCACTTCCTAGAAAGCCATTCAAATTCAAAGGATTTTGAAAATCTTACACTTGATGTTATACATGGACAGTTGTTCTGACATTTGCAAACAACATAGTTGCAGTAAATTTCTATATACATACAGAGTTTACAATTCTTCCTTCCCGGGGCGGGTGGGGAAACAACAAAGCGAAACACAGGCCCTAGAACCAATCACCTGAAAAACTAAAGATTGTTAGAGCTTGCCAAACTGCTGCAGCTCCCTGTTTTTAATTTGTGATTTAGAAGCAGCAGTGAGGCTGAGTGTGTGTTCCCAAGAGGTACGCACACAGCATATACACGCAGTGGGCAGCACACTGATAGAAACACTCAGCACTCCAACAGAAATGGCATAAACAGCCTCATCCTTCCCTGGCTGATCTGAAGGAAGGACAGATTAGTTGGAAATACACACATGTAATCAGCATGGATCCCTCCTGTAACTTGCCTTAGACACTCACTCCATCCAGTAGCTGGCACCTGGATCCCCACTATGCCTACTTGCTGGCCCCTGGACATACAAGTCTGAGGCCTGCAGCTCCCCTCCAGTTGCTGGTACAGATCCCCTTTTAATCTTGGACACACTCAAACATCCCCACCCACCCCAGCACCCTATGGATACTCCAGTAATGGGCCTCAGACACTACATGTATCCAGTAAATGGCACTGGACCATCCCGCTTCCCAGTTACCATGCATGCCCACTGACACCCCCAAATATACATTATACTAACTATACTATCTACTCCACTCTCGTGAGACCCCACCTGGTATATTGTGTCCAGCTCTGAAGCCCTCGACATAAGGACATGGACCTGACGAAGCAGGTCCAGAGGAGGGCTACAAAGATGATCAGACAGCTGGAGCTCCTCTCCTATGAAGACAGCCTGAAAGAGTTGGGGTTGTTCAGCTTGGAAAAAAGTAGATTCCAGGGAGACCTTAAAGCAGCTTTCCAGTATCTGAAGGGTGCCTACGAGAAAGCTGGAGAGGGACTTTTTACAAGGGCATCTAGTGATAGGATGAGGAGTAAAGGCTTCAAACTGGAAGAGGGCAGATTTAGATTAGATATCAGGAAGAAATTTTTCGCTCTGAGGGTGGTGAGGCACTGGAATAGGTTGCCCAGAGAAGTTGTGCATTCCCCATCCCTGGAATTGTTCAAGACCAGGCTGGATGGAACTTTGAGTAACCTGGTCTAGTGGGAGGTGTCCCTGTCCATGGCAGGGGGCTTGGAACTAGATGATTTTTAAGGTCCTTTCCAACCTAAATCATTCTATGATTCTATGATTACGAGCTCTCAGTAGCTGGCTTTGACACCCAGACTAGACAGAAGCTGGCTCCTGGCTCCCTGGTCTTCCCTTGTCTCAGGCACAGAGACGTACAGATGCAAACAGGCCTCTCAGTCAACCCACAGACCATACAGTTGCTCCCACAGTCAGTCTGGACCTCTGTGCCCCTACAACAGCTCACTCATGAACCCTCTGGTCTCTCCAGTATCTGGCCCAGACTTTTGGGCACATGGATACCTGGCAGCGAAGCCACTCATCCGGCTTGCTGGCTACTTCAGCTTGATACTCAGTAGCGACCCCACACTGACATTCACATGCATGCAATACACACACACTCTGTACTCTCCAGTTTGCTGACACCATAGACACGTGAGACTCTCTGACCCATGGCCCAAATCCAGTTGCTGGCACTTAAACCTCCAGACACACATGTACACAGAGAGACCCTTTACTCAGGTAAACAGTTAGAAGAAGTGGAGCATAAGAAGATACAGGACAGACTGAGCTGATCAAACACAGGGCATGACTAGACAACAGTACTGAGCAAGAGCCTGTTTACACAGGACCAGCCCCTATGATGCCCTTATCCCTCTATTTTTCCTTGTTTTTTCCTCCCTAATTCATCTCAGTCCCTCCCTTTACCTGCCTGTGGTTCTTCCTCGGAAAATCCCAGAATAAATCTAGTACAATGCCATGATGCTCTTCCCTGCATCCCATAATATGTCCCATACCTCTGTAAGCAGTAGCTCCCTCAGCCTGAAGGGCGATCAGGACAGCATCTCCTGTTGACTCCTCATGATGGGTTTCAGGCCCGGCCCATGGGGCTGAGGATCTCCTGCACAGCCTTGGGATGAGCCCAGGATTGAGTCTCTAATTAGGGCAGGGGGATTACTCTCCCAGCACTGCACTGTTCCTTTGGGTGTGTAGAGACGAGCCTTTTATCAGATAAGCTAACAAAGATGTTCTGCTGAGAACACAACTTTTTTGTACTTCTGAGTTTGTAATTTGGTGCTGGCCTGCTATTTCATTTTAGATGTATGAATTCTAAAATCCTATTTAAACTGTTCTAAACTAAACTCCTAAAAATCCGTAATTTTAAAGTCTTCAGATAGTAAGTTGTTTAAAAACAAGTTTAGGCAGCGCTAAGCTAGAAGCAGAAGACTTCTTAAGACGAGCCTTTACACTAGAGCTATGAACATCTTGATGTCTGCATCTTACAGGTCCAAGAAGCTTTACCGATAGCCATAAAAGGTCCTTAGGCTTCACAGACGTTACATTCAGTCATAAATGTTAGCACCTTTCTCTGTCTTTTCCCCTGTTTTGGCTGTTCTACCTCTTTCTTGTAAAGGAAGTTTCTTCGTGTCACAGTAAATTCATAAAACTTCCAGATAAAATATGACTAAGATGAAATTGAACAATTCAAGCCTTAGGAGAAATAGGTCACAGAAATGCTTGCAAATTCAGAAGAGTGATGTTTTTAGAAAACGAGTGCCTTAAATCCCAGAAATTCAAAGTGAAATTTCATAGTGAAACACTCTATTGTTCAAGACTTTCCCATCATTTCCAATCATTTCCAATATCCTACTTCTTCCCATTCTATCATGCCAAATTAAATTAACTGCTATTCTGGAATTATAAAAAAAACAATTTAGGAAATCAAAAAGTCTTCTCTAGTTTTCTTCACTGTTTCACTATCAACTTACCTCATAAGCGATCAGAAATATTTTCATATTCTATACACATATTAAAAACAGTTTAAGTTCATAAAGTGTTATTAAATCCCTGCCAAAGCCTAAGGCTTGGGGAGTGCAAAAACACTCCCATCTTCTTTCTTTATAGTACACAAACAGTGATATAACAATAATGTTTTATTTTGTGATACAGACCTGACACAGAACATCCATTATGATTCTTCACTGACTGCATAGCAGCTCCAGATTACAAATTCCACACCATTATCAAAATAAAAAATACAGGCCATTGCCTCACAGTGGCAAAACAGAAGCAGAAATGTGGACCAGCACTGTATTTCTAAGCAAAACAAGGGTCGAGAGACCTTGAGCTCTATTCCACTGATATTCCGTAACTCTTAGTTGTTAACATGTGCCTCAGGGTGGTTTTCATCTGTGCCAGGTAGTACATTGCCAGACTGTACTCATGCATGGCTGGGTAAGGTGTGTGCCAGCAGTCATTCCCAAAAGACCTTATGTATGAACAGACCTGCATCCGGTTTTCCTCACAGCACCTTATATTGTCTTCCAACATGATCTTGTCAGGCTTTGCATTCTTAGGCCTTTCTAAGATGAGCTTACAAATTTATAGAATCATTTAGGTTGAGAGAGACCTCTGGGGGACGAGTTCAGCCTCTTACTCAAAGGAGGCCTAACGTCAAAGCTAGCTGAGATGGCACAGATACACTTCTCTTTGCCATGAAGCAAGCTTACACCTCCAAGTTCCACAGAGCAAAGACACTTAAATATTAAAACATTACAATGAAAACTACTTACACTACAGTTACTTCACTTTAGCACATTTTAAAAATCATTATTCTTCCCTACAGTTAAGTGTAGGGATCGCTATATTTCATTCTTTACCCTCAGTATTAAAGCTTTGATATAGATAGTGAAAAATACTTACAAAATTCAGATGAAAAAAGTACTTTCTTAAATTATATTTCCTCATTATTAAGGACTATAAATGCGCACTAAAAATATACCATCATATTAATATTTAAGATTGTGCTCTTCAGAAAATCCAAAACTAATAAAAACCCCCATGCCCAAAAGAGATTTCTGCTCTCTTTAAAGAAACCGATTTGGATTCATTACACGTAACTTGCACTTTGTGGCAAAAAGAAGAGGGCAATGCATAGAGCTTAAGCATAAATATTTCAGCTCATTCTACTTCTTGACTCATAGAATAAATTTTCAGTGAAATGGCAATACTGCAGTTTTATAAATACAAGAATAATATTAATTTGTTATGGTATATGTGTTGAAGCACACATTCAATAATCCTCCCAAGCCCATCCTTCAGGCAAAACAAAGCATTTAAAATCATAATGTATTAGGCACACTTGAGTCACTTCCTAAACAGAGGATTGAAAATATGAAAAAGTGTTATTCCGGTTTGGCTGAATGGCTCGCATCATGTCATGGTACAGGATTAATTCTGTACACAGTAGGCTTATTTTAGTATTTAACAAAACAGCAACTCTTAAATTTCATAGTGTTAAAGCAAGAAGTAGGATACAATAAGAATTTAAAAAAAAAAACCAACAAACCCACCCACCTGTGTTTTGTACATTTGATTTCATTTACCAGATTTAGTTAATTGCAACATATTAGCCAAATCACACTGACCGAAATACAAAATACCCACCTGTTTTAGGGTCAACAGAGAAATATGGCTGTCCCTGAAGAATGCTGTACACTACTCTGGCGCTGTTTCCATATGTAGGGTCATCTGCATCTGTGGCTGTCACCTGTAGAACAGATGTACCTGTATATACAGGAAAATAAAAGTTTAGTGCATTTTTGAAACCTCTAAAGTTCTTACATTCTACAATTGAAAGATTAATAATATTTTCTTTGTATGTTATTATCCTATTATATTTTTAAGGTAAACTACTTATATTGATTTGAAAAAAAGTTTTTTCTCTTTGCCTTTCTATATGTATATGTAACTTATTTACATATATAAAAACATAAATAGTAACTACATAGCATGCATATTTATGCATGTTCACACATATAGACCCCAAACTTGGATAATGCTTAGACTTCTGAACACCTCATATTTATGGACTTCAGGATTATCTTCATCCACAACATAAATTAATGTTGAAGTGCATATTTAAAACAATTTGCATGAATATCCGCAAATCAATAAAAGATAATAAGGGAATAAAAAAAATCTAGCTATCGGAAAGCATCAAATATCTGAAAATGAATTAACTACTAGAACCTTGTTGGAACTCCAACAATGGTTCCGAATTAGAAAGATAAGAAGTTCAAAAGACAAATATTTGTATACTGTTAACAAACAACATTAGAAAAATAAAATCACAGTTTCTAGCACTTTACTAAGTGGGATTACTTATGAGTAACATTTTGTACCAAAAAAAATGAGTAAGTACTGCACAGGTAGAACAGACACAAATGATTTTTACATTTTACTTTATTTTTTGAGACATCTAATGATTATTGTTTTTTGCTACCACTGCCCAGCACTTCACATAAGAAATCAGTAAATGAAAAATTGGCAAGTTAATAAAGGTTCAGTCTTTATCCCACTTCTTTATCCTTCTACAGACACTGCTTTCTACAGACTTCTTTGGCCCAGTATTAAAATACAGGAATAATAATAACACAACAGGCTGCTGTCATGTAATTCTGCATCTGAAAGTGGCTTCTCAGTTAAATTAACCACTGAGGCATCACCTCCACTCTGGGGTGTTCAATTCCACATCTTAGTTTTGAGGAGAAGTGTGCTGTTGAATTGAATCCCTTGATCTCCCTCATTTGTACTCTGATTGGCCTCATGGAACACTTTCAGAGCATGCTAACCAGATTTCTTCGGACGAAATTAAACCAGAAGATGCACTTTAGCATATCTGATTTATTATGACTGCTAATGGGCATTTAGTCTCAGAGACCAGGCATGAGCTAGTCTGAAATAAGACTTCCCAAAAACACATGGTGTGGACATCGGATCCTCAGTTCCAGCTGTTTAACTTCATAGATCAATTTCCATTGCACAGAACTGTTTGTCAATGTGCACACCCTCAGTGTACATTGGGAATAGAAATACCTAAAATTATGGAGTCTCACTTCAAGTACAGCAGACTTAGATTCTTCATTTTGAGAAACTATTCATTCATTTGTGCCACACTAACTTGGACACTGAAAGTCGCTTTTTGTATCTCTACTGGGAATTTGGGAAAAAGTACAGTGAACATGTCTGCATACTTAAATATAGTGTCTTCCGGTCTCTGAATAGCCCAAATGCATACAGTCTCATAGATAAATATATTAACACAGCAGATATAAGGATACCTTAATGAATTTGAAGTTCAATGTTGTAATAAAATCAAGCCGGAGCTAGTAGTTTGTTCATAGTTATTCAGGAGCGAATGGTAAAACTGACTATAATACTGTATTTGGGTTTATGTGGCAACGTAAACAAATGTGAATTAAAGTTACAGTAATTTTCCTGAAATGTTCTAGGAAACTATTCAGTCATATTTACTTGATACCTAAACTTAGAATAAGAGTTCCTACAAACCACATCAAGTCACTTCAAAGAACAAAAAATGCGCATTTCCCCCTATTCTATAGCTTATTTAAATACTGTAATGATGTATTTCTGTAGCCTAGTTTGGCAATAGTTTCTAATTTGAGGTGGAAAAGCTGTGACCTTTCTATCTTCTAGTTAAGCCTGTTGTACTCAAGGGTGAAGGCCTGTCCACACTAATTTGTTTTTTTACCTTTGTTCATGGCTTCATTTTTTTATGTTAGAATCTTGTGGAATCATTAAAGATTAATAAGTTCTACAAAATCAAGGTAGGTTTTGGAACAGATGAACAGATTTTAGCTATTTCAGAAGCAGAAAATACCAGAAATACTGAGAATTCATGGTTCTCTCATTCTTCAGAGACTTTCTTCTCTCCCCTCCATATTTTAAAAAGTAGAGGATAGAATCTGAGTGCTTGTATTGCTCATTGATTTTTGACAAAGAAACAGGGCTAGTGAAAGGTGGTATCTCACATAAGAAGCTGACTGGTCCTATTAGCATGAATGGAACGCTATTATAACTTAAAATCTGCCACAGTGATTTTCTAATACATCTGTATCTCTCTCCTAAGAAACACCTGATGATAATAATTCGGTATTGAATAGTATCGAATAGCGTCAAAGTGTTCTCTTCCCATCTAAAAGAACACTTAGAGTCACAAGTTTCAACTCATCCCCCACTTCACCTCCTAAACCCACTTTCAGTGCAATGTAGCTTATCAGATGCTTAACTTTTTCACTGTATTACACAAGCATGCTCAGTATCTTGTAAGATATACTGACCTTTTGCCTAACTCTTGCCTGATTTTCTGAGTCAAGAGGAAAGGCAGCTCATGAAAGCTGCAGGTTAGAATACCTTGCAAGATAAAAGGTAAAGAGGATACCTTTACCTTCCAGTTACTCGTTTCAAAGTCAGCATCATTCAGCCCATCAACATGACAGACAAATCACAATTCCACATACATTTGTACCATTCAGATGAAGCATCAGTTTTTGCTGTTGAGCTATGTGTAATGAAGGATTTAGATGGAAAAGTATACAGTAAAGCTGACTTGCTGTTTTTAATGCTAAGCATTCTGAAGAAAATAATCTAATACAAAAATAAGGATCTAATTTCCCTGGAGACCTCAGAACAGATATGAACATCGGACCCAGAGGCATACCTTCCATACTTTATTCACTAACCTACTGTGAAAGGGCCTGTCAAGAAAAGCTAAAAATTTTGCTATGAAAGCATTCTGACACTCCAGTTAAGCAATAAAAAAGACTTTTTTTCCCCAAAGTGGAGGCTCTGCTTACTCAGAGTACTACTACCATTCCACATGATTTCCCGCTACAGTTTAGAGATTACATATTGGGAATTCTGTTTTCTTAGCTAATGCTTTATACAGAGCTGTAAAATATATCTATATGCTCTGAATACCACTCTACAAGCTTTGCCTTTTTTCTGTTATCAAAAATAAGAATAATTTCATTTGGAAAATCAAATTGTAGTTTTATTTCAAAGCTTCTTTTGTTTTTCTCTTTTTTTAAATATGTTTACAATAAAAATTTTTGTAAAGTTATATATCAAAGAAAAGCTGAAGGGAAATACTTCAATCTGTCTCTCTGAAGACAAATTCTTAATGTTTAATGAGGCAGTTCAATAAAACATGTCTGTTGAGAACTCAAATCTGTATGCATGACTTTCCATAGTTTGCTGCATTGTTAAAATCTCAAATGGATCAATATTGAACAAAAAGTAAAAGAAGTGAAAAAAAAAAAGGTGAAGTTTAATGAACACCGGGATTTCCTGCCTAACTAAACTAATTCTTAAAATTGTCTTAAACACTAACAAATCCACACAACATGTTTTAGTTTCATTCTACATTAGAAAATAGTGATTTCACCAGGAAATCAACACTTTGAGTCCAGTGACTATATTACTGATCCAAGTCCTCACCATAGAAAATCTCAACATTTTTTGTCAGCTATCTTCATTAGAAGAAAAAAAAATATCAAACAACACAGGAAGATAAATAGGCACTTCTCATACAAATCGTATTTATGAACACCATAAATATTGTCTTCCAGACTATCTGAAATTATGACTACCTTACATTATAATACCCTGGAAAGAAGTTCAGAAAAGTCCAGAGTGTCTATTAATTTCCTAAGTCTAATTTATTTGGAACACTCTTCTTATACATGATCTCAACACTAGAAAATTTAACATGCAATTATTTCACTCATTTTGAAACTCTCTGAAAATGCGCAGGTATGGAAGGCTTTTACTGACTGAAAAATGTTTTTATTTCCTTTTACATTTAAATAATGATGACTCATAAATGTTAAAAGAGAGCACAGTTATAGCTCTCAATAAGACTGAGTTTTTTACACTCCAGAAGAAATCGTTTCAGATATAAACCTTGGTTCCTGAGCCAACTCTTAGGAAAAAGGTTCAGGGAAGGCAAGGAATACGTGTTTTCTTTCAGCTGTTTCAGCACAGTACACAGAGCATAAATGTGAACACTGTGATCTAATATTTGGAAAATAATTTAACAAAAATTACCTGTACTTGCTTGTCAGTGACCTACAAAAACAAAGCCAGAAAGGTTCTACAGAAAGGTCCTACAGAAAGGTCCTACAGCTTTTAGGAGTAGATCAAGAAAGTTTCAACTTCTGGGAAAAATACCAGCTAACTTCTTGAGGACACAGGCAGGAACCTGCTGCTGAAAATAAACAGCATAACGAGATCAAAAATACCATCTGCCACTCAGTGTGAGTGCTGTTACAGAAAGACAGTAACATTGAAGGTTCTTTAAATGACCATGTAAAAAAGTGAAAGACATTTTTAAAGTAGTGAAGCATCCTCAGGAATTCATAAAATAACAAGAAGTTCAGTTATGTATAGACTCCACAGCTGAATGTCAAAAAACATGCTAATTACAGAACTAATAAAAATGGCATAGTGATCTCGATTATTTGACAGAAAGAATGTATCCTATGGAAGCAATGATAGAATTAGTTTTTCTGAGACTGCAGACAATAAAATGCTTTCAGTATGCAACAAACACAAACAAATCAATATGGGAAAAAGAAAATAATGATCATAAATTTCCAATGAAAATATAATGCATACCTACAGCACATTGCCTGTATCGCAGGATATGAAAATTCAGTTTTATTCACACAACAGGAAAGGTTTGTGGAATAGAAATTTTAATGATTTACCTCAGGTACAAACAGTAAAGCATTTCATTTATAAAACATATGCATTAATGCTTTATTTTATGACTGCATCTTTCTTGGTTTACCATAATCCACTCTGTTTTATAACCCAAATTGCCATCCCAGCCTAATTATTCAAATTTTTCTTTGAAAAACAGTAACTTATATAAGGTAGTTGTACAGAAATACCAAGATTCAGACTACTACAGAATTGTGACTAACATCTATGCAAGAACCTTACATTTTGAGAGCATGAAAAAAAGATAACTTTTATAAATAGAATGAACAAATAAAAAGTAATTATATTAGCTGCTTTTGACTTTGAGGATGACATTGATTTCCTTTCCACTGTCTTTCCTCCTATGCAGAAAATAAAAGGCTTCCACAGGGGAAAAAATAATCAATTAATTAAAATGGTCTCCATTAAAGACAAAGGAAACTGAAGAAAGAGGAAGACAGAGTTATGCCTTTTTTGAGACAGTCGATAAAGGAAATGAATTTCACATTAAGACAGTGAGAGACATGTGATGAGAGACAACTGAGATAAGAGCTTAGATGTTACTGAAATGAACCACAATTCTAACCATAAAGTTTTGTGCCACAGTGAATTATCGAAGACAATTGAAGAGGTTTCATACAGGCCCATAATATTCTTACTGGATGCTCTCTCTGTCCCTTCACTGTCATAACAAAGGTGCATTGCCTAAATAGCCCTGGTGTTATGACATTACCCACAGAAATACTGCCCGTCCATAAATTTCTCGTGGGAATGGTATTTGCGATAGTATGCTTAGATGGTTAAAATAGCAAATTCTACATTAAAAACATGTCTTGTTATATGCACTTGTTTGCAAATATTTCATATGCCACACTTCCACATTATATGCCAGAAAAGAACCGTAGATGTGTTTGGAATGCACTATTTTTACTATGCATATCTGTAATGGAAGCTGTGGGTTTGGCCTGTTTAGTCTCTGCACATGAAAGATTTCTTAGCATACAGTGAAACTGTATGCAGTTCAAACAGTATGCAGACTTCCACAAACAGATTAAACTTCCCTCATTACAGAACCGTGTATTTCTGAACTCAGCATAATAATGTCAGGTGGTACCATTTAAGATGAACCAAATGCAGATTCCCAGTTTAAAATGAATTTCGCCTATCTACACTAGGAAAGTTGTGCAAGGTACCCTCCCATCCAAAATAATTATATTAACAAAATATTGTATCTGACTTTCCAGTATGGAACATAACACTTCTGTTATTTTCTGGTCTATTCATATGAGTTATCATTACCATTCAAAGCGATCAAACGATGACAAACCATTAAGATTCAATGACAAAGTAATTCATTCTTACACGTATGATCAATATTTTTGAGTTGAGTAACTACATGTATTTTAGTATTTTTCCCTTTTAATTTTTAAAATTCTACTCTGCAGAAGTTAAAGTCTATCACCTGCTTATTAGACAAACAGAGACGAGAGAAAAACAAATTATCTGCTTTTCACTTTGGAAAGTTAGACATGTCTTGGACTTGAAGGTTGTTTCCTAGATGGGATGTGTAAGGATTTGGGGAGAAAGGGAAAAGTGTGTGTTCATGAGGTAACTATCTATACTGTCCATTGAGTAATAAAAGACAGAAGACGTATTTCACAATGACCAGCCATCACAGTTTAAGCTTTCTTAAAAAAAAACCTAGCCCAAAAGTCATATTTCCATCTATCTATCCTAAACTAGTTATGCAGTTTTTATGTTGTGATATTATTGGAAAGTTATAAACTAATTTCAACACCAGACAAGCAATAAATAAAGAAAACTGATAGCATAATGTAGCACCTCAAAGAATAACAACACGTGAACTACATTTCTAACAGGGAAAACCAAAGATCAGTACTTTTTTGAACTTCAGTTCACTTTAGGAGAAACTTAATAAAGGTAAATAAAGCTATAAGACTACGATCTAAAATAATCTAGAAAACTACTGTTCTTTTGTATTTATTTCATTCTGTGAATTGCATAGACTACTCATGTAGACATACGAGAATGCCATAAAGTGTGTAGTTGAATAAGGATATATGAATACATCTTGTTTCTAGACTGCAAAGTACCATTTGCCCAGGAATGTCTGTTAAAGCATTCAAGAATGAGTGACTCTGCTCTACAGTCTCTGTGTAGGTACTGTTTCTTTATTATGAATGTCCCAAGTAACATACAAGGTTGCATTTGATACTTTCTTATCATCTCTTTTCAGCTGTAACATCTTTTACACACAATCAACGATACAATAAGGTGTCATAACTTTGTCAAAGATATGGGGCATTTTCACCTGTTAAAAGATTATTGAATAGAACAATTTGTTTTCCTTACCCATTTCAGACATCTCTGGCACAGTAACAATGTATGGTCCATCTGTAAATTTTGGTGCATTGTCGTTGATATCCTGCACTTTGATAATAAATTCAGATTCAGGCTCGAGTGGCTTGTTTGTCCGTCTATCAATAGCTTGGGCATGAAGCACATAGTGTGTCTTCTGCTCTCGATCTAGGCTTTTGGTTGAATGGATGTCTCCAGTCGTGTCATCAATAATAAATATAGTCCCCGCCCCTTCTCCAGTAAGAATGTATTTGACTGATCCATCACCTTTGTCGGAATTGGAGTGCAGCTGTAGAATATATACACATAAAATCATATAAAACAACATATTACATTTCATTAAAGGTTATTGCACATAAGATATAAAAATACAATATTTCTGTTAGCACTGTTCTACTTAGTTTTTAACCTTCCCACCTCTTGCATAATTCCTCATGTGCTATTTCTGGCAAGTCAATCGCTTTGTTCAGGGTCATTTTGACCCAGCATAGTCCATTTTTTAAGCTGGGAAGTCTTGGGTTCTACATGCATCCTAGAAAACTTCCTAAGTCAATAACAGTCTAGTAACTGGGGTGGTTTTTATTGTATCTTGGCTTGGCTTTAGTCTTTCTAGTGGTTATCTTACAGCACTCATTGCTAGAAACTTTGCCTTAAACACTAAGCCTGAAGCAGTCACACTGAGGATTGTTTGCTTCAATGACTGTAGTTCAGTCCCACCACCTATATTATCTCCTACGGCCCAAGGACAACATCATTTACTGCAAAAGGAAACTGCGTAGTGTGGCAGTGACAGATGTCTGTCCAGGATTACTCTATCCCTCAACAAAACACAGCCATTTTCTCTGGGGTTTGTTTAGTTGTTTTAGAAAGTTTGATAGGAAATCACCTAATTTGCTTGTATTTAAATTATTTATAATGAACTAATTAACTTTGGCTGATACTTCCAGCATTTTCATTGTTCCTAACATACACTCTGTGCTATAAAATATACATTAATTATATTATACCCCTCCTTGAGTGGAATAAATTTTATATTTATTGAGGGCAGGCGGAAGGAAAAGTCACTATGTAACCTTGTGTATTAAGAGATAACACGAAACAGCTAACTTGACTTTAAAGAATTACCTCTTAGATTAAAAATTAACATGTTCTCTGAGAAGGATGGATGATTTTTTCATAGATTGAGAAGCTTTGTGGTTTTTTTCTTTAAAATTACTTTGAGAACGGAATGTATTTATTGAGGTGCACAATGAGAACAAAGTGATAATGCAGAAACGAATGCAGCCTTAGGTATTGTGCAGTTATAGTGTGATGTTAAATCAGGAGGGAAACTTTCTAATTTTAAGAACTCACTCATTCTTATCCCACTGTCCTGACTATCTCTCAATATCTGCAAGGTGGCATTACTCAGTTTCTGCATGGAATCTGAGGAAAAGGAGTAAGCATATGGGGGTTGGTGGCATTTTTCATCTTGTGCATTAACTCTATGAAATTATGGTGTCACATATAATTTATATCTTGTCCTGTAGGGGCAGCTGGGAGGGGGAAGTCTAATAAAATTGAGATTGTCAGCTCATATAAACTTCAGTGTAACTTCAGTCAATGCACCATATACTTATTTGAGCCACAAGAAGATCTGACCGAACAACCAAAAAAAAACCCAACTGGGTCACCACTGTGGACCCACTTATTTTTATTTTGAAAATGTAAGAAAGAAAAAAGCCGAAAAAGGGTCTGTTTGCTTGGCTTTGCCTTTATAGGACACCAGGACAATCTCACACCTTTCCTTTAGAGCAGTGATGGGCAAAATCCTGGTTACTTCTTTTCTTATCCTCAGAATAATACAGTATTATATTAACAAAGGAATAATTCACTCAATGTAAAATGCCAAGGACCCAAACTTCCTATGAAGTCAAAATGTTCTCTGAAGTGATTTATTCCTAAAACCAAGAATAGTAGGTATTCCGGTATTCTAATTTTCCAGAAACAATCAGAATTGTTTTTCCTCTTGCTGCAGATTCCTTTTTTGATAAAATGATTCCTAAGTGTTAATGTTTGCAAATGTTAACATTTGCCTCAGAAAGACTGTCTTGAATTTATGGGAAAAAAAACCAAAACAACAAACCAACAAGAAACCCAGGAGAAAGTTCTTATGCCCAGGAAAATGACAAATTTGCTGAGTTTATGAAGCTATGAGGAACTCAAGTTAAAACCATCCCAAACTGAAAAAGATCAGAAGAATCTCCATCCTCATTCTCTCCTGTTAACTCTGCATGCATATATGTAAAAGCTTCTTCAGGTATACCACAAAGAGATCCCAGCAAAAATCACTGTACTCATAACTAGGATTATGAAATTATGAACCAATTAAGAAATTGATTACATAGATAGGTAAGAAACCAATGGAATAAAGAACAGCTGTAGAATTTAAGAAGTAAGCTTTCTTCAAAAAACCCAAATATTAACATAGACATGGCATTCTAATACCATGCTGCAGAAAGAGACATTCAGAAATTCACTGTGATAGCACAAAATGCATGGAACATTCAGAAAAAATAATAACATTTGACATTTTTTGTTGTGAAGAAACAACTATTTGTACTTGTCATCAGTGAAGAAAATCCAGTTACATTTTGAGTCAGAGGGCTTTTACATCTAACAACTAAAAAAGTTAAGAAACACAAAAGATTCTCAGCTGACTGCCCGGCCAACAAATTATATGTTATTCCTGCTAAACATCATGTTACCCAAGACACTTCAATTAATAAATGCAGGCAGGAATATCATTAGAAGAAAATTATCTGGTAATAAACACTGAAAGCCTTCAATTTGCAACCGGGTCTTTTACACTGCAGTTGTAAGGCAAGAACTGAAAACGAGAAAGCTGAGAAGTTCCTGCTTCCCTACTCCCTGATATTTATTATATTGTTTTAAATATAACACTTCAATTTATGCTTTTTAATTTCTAACACTGAATTTTAAATTCACATAGGAGGATTTTGCATAGCACTTCTACTGCATAACAAAAGGGTCTTTCCTTTGTCAGTTGGTTTACATTTCGTTTTTTCTGTAAAGTAAAGATTAAGTAACAGTTTTTGTTCTTTAATACTTCCATCTCAGTACAAATTGGCCTAAGTAGAAAAATATCAAGGCTTCTCTCAAATGTTTATTTGCAATATGTGTTTTGCTGAAGAGAGCCCCTGGGAATCCCTGCTTAAGACAATGCCTACCAGATTAATGAAAGATTCATGTCCCTGAGCATGGTGCGTTTCTTTCTTTTCCCTGCGTACTATGAAATCATCTCCACAACAGGTGGTTTATTCCATAAAAGCATTCCTAAGTTGAATAAAGGTGATTCACCACTTAGGTTACAAATACATGGTTTGGGAGACTGTATTTCTGCAGCTGCGTCTGTAACGATTTATAAAAACAGCAAGGGAGCAAAATCTAGCTGGACAATAGTGGACTTTCTCTACTTGGGACTGCTGTAACTATTTCTCTTTCAGATTAATTTGACAAAGAAGGAGATGCCACTAAGCAATGCAGATTCAAGCCAACCCATGTTCTGTTCATCAGTTCAGACCTAACTTGTGTGGCCTGGGGATGTCATCTCAACCCAGATCCCTAGAAAGGGTGTGGATATTTCATGTCAATGAGATGCCACCGCCTCTGCCAACAACTAGTGTAAGATGAGACACTCACATGCTGTAGTAATGTGAATAAATAGCTTAGATAAACACAAAATGCGGTGTTATTTTTTCCCCTACTGTGCCAGTCAGGGACAGAAAGTTGGAACATTGTGGGAGTCTCTTAATTTAAAAAGAAATACAAATGCATGACAAACTGAAACATGATTACTCATAATGTTGAGATGAGCATTGAAAAGAAATACAAGGAAAATATGCCAAACGTTAGAACACAGCTTTTGGATTTCTGTACTAGAGGTTTTAACTATGACTATGAAAACATTACTGAAAACGTCTTTCAGGAGGTCTTAGTTTCTGACAGTCCCACCTCATCTAATGATTATATATTGATCTGTGATACTAATGTTTTAACTGCTACTTAAAGAAGCTTCTTTTTTTTCCTTCTTAAATTGTTTCAAGTTGCTTCTCTAAGCAATGTCACCTTAGACCCCAAACCCTATTTTAAAAATAACTTTGCAGACCAATACTTTGCTTAGTTAACCACTAGAGAATAACACAGCTTGCACTTACCACTTAGCCCTCCCTAGCTCCCCAGTGGTCCCCCAACCCTGCCCACGGCTCAGGACCTCATTGCAGCCTCCGCAGGGCCACCAGCCCCTGCTCCAGCGACGCTGCAGTGGGGCCGGTATCCAGCTCCCCAGAGCCCTGCCCTGCATGCCCATAGGCCCCACTGAGCCAGGCCCACCTGAGGGATCACGTCCTGTCCCCAGCCTCAGCCTGTCCCCATCCTCAGGGAGCTGCCCAATGCCCGGGGCTGGGGCTGCCCCAGTGGCTCCTTCCTGCCCTGCTCCTGGCTGGCCCTGCCGTGACCCACCTGGGGGAGTCCCCAGTGCCCCAGCCCCAGGGATCTGCCCAACTCTGCTGCTCCCTGATGGCACCATCTCTGATCCCCCCAACTTCCAGCCAGTGAAGGTTTCTGAACTCCTTGTGCAAATGCGGTTTCTATCCTAAGTGTTGGGCTGGCTTCTGAAAACATTATTTATCACTGCTGATTTAGTTATGCTCCTAACAAGAACATATCTGTTAAATATTCTGAATCTGTCCACAACCAGAAGCTGCCAGAAAGTATTTAATTTTCATCCCCTGTTGGGCATTATTCCTGTCTTTATTTCTCTGAATTTTTAGGGCAAGAAGAAACTGAAAATAACAGCTGAAGAGCATATCTGGAATGTCACCTTTATCAACCCAGTGGGCTCCACTTCTTGACATTTTTAATAACAGGTTGGATTCAGGATGATTTATGACGGTTCCTCAATCTTTAACTAGCCTATATCAGTAGCATATGACCGATTTAGCAGAATAGCAACCAAGGTGTCCTTGTTTTGCTAAGACTTAAACATTTTTCTTCTATCAGTCTATTTAAGCGCTTAACTTTCTTGTAGTTTTCCTGCACATACTGCAGAAGGGCTACGTTACCCAAAGGTAATTTGAAGAGGTATACTAAACTTTTCAGTTAATGAGTTTCCTTTACATTCTTACATTAATTTTGATACTACGAGTCTTGAAATACTTATAATTTTATGCACCAGAATATGAACTGCTGTAAAATGAATGCACAGATTGTAGGTTTATTGCCCAGCTA